AGCTCCATCGCGCACTCTTTATTTTGAGATTTTATGATTATTTACGTCCTAAAGAACATTTTTAAAAATATTTGGTGGTGTAGCAAAATTTTTTTCAGAAGTTAGTATTTTTTTCCTATCTTTGGGGTTGAATCTACCCCCTTCAGCCCCTAGGCGCACTCTTTATTTTGGGATTTTTAGATTAGTAACGTCCTAAAGAACATTTTTAAAAATGTTTGGTGGTGTAGCAAAATTTTTTTCAGAAGTTAGTAGTTTTTCCCTATCTTTGGGGTTGAATCTACCCCCTTCAGCCCCTTAGCGCACTCTTTATTTTGAGATTTTATGATTATTTACGTCCTAAAGAACATTTTTAAAAATGTTTGGTGGTGTAGCAAAATTTTTTTCAGAAGTTAGTATTTTTTCCCTATCTTTGGGGTTGAATCTACCCCCTTCAGCCCCTAGGCGCACTCTTTATTTTGGGATTTTTAGATTAGTTACGTCCTGAAGAACATTTTTAAAAATATTTGGTGGTGTAGCAAAATTTTTTTCAGAAGTTAGTATTTTTTCCCTATCTTTGGGGTTGAATCTACCCCCTTCAGCCCCTAGGCGCACTCTTTATTTTGGGATTTTTAGATTAGTTACGTCCTAAAGAACATTTTTAAAAATATTTGGTGGTGTAGCAAAATTTTTTTCAGAAGTTAGTATTTTTTTCCTATCTTTGGGGTTGAATCTACCCCCTTCAGCCCCTAGGCGCACTCTTTATTTTGGGATTTTTAGATTAGTTACGTCCTAAAGAACATTTTTAAAAATATTTGGTGGTGTAGCAAAATTTTTTTTCAGAAGTTAGTATTTTTTCCCTATCTTTGGGGTTGAATCTACCCCCTTCAGCCCCTAGGCGCACTCTTTATTTTGGGATTTTTAGATTAGTTGCGTCCTAAAGAACATTTTTACAAATATTTGGTGGTGTAGCAAAATTTTTTTCAGAAGTTAGTATTTTTTCCCCATCTTTGGGGTTGAATCTACCCCCTTCAGCCCCTAGGCGCACTCTTTATTTTGGGATTTTTAGATTAGTTACGTCCTAAAGAACATTTTTACAAATATTTGGTGGTGTAGCAAAATTTTTTTCAGAAGTTAGTATTTTTTCCTCATCTTTGGGGTTGAATCTACCCCCTTCAGCCCCTAGGCGCACTCTTTATTTTGGGATTTTTAGATTAGTTACGTCCTAAAGAACATTTTTACAAATATTTGGTGGTGTAGCAAAATTTTTTTCAGAAGTTAGTATATTTTCCCCCATCTTTGGGGTTGAATCTACCCCCTTCAGCCCCTAGGCGCACTCTTTATTTTGGGATTTTTAGATTAGTTGCGTCCTAAAGAACATTTTTACAAATATTTGGTGGTGTAGCAAAATTTTTTTCAGAAGTTAGTATTTTTTCCCTATCTTTGGGGTTGAATCTACCCCCTTCAGCCCCTAGGCGCACTCTTTATTTTGGGATTTTTAGATTAGTTACGTCCTAAAGAACATTTTTAAAAATATTTGGTGGTGTAGCAAAATTTTTTTCAGAAGTTAGTATTTTTTTCCCTATCTTTGGGGTTGAATCTACCCCCTTCAGCCCCTAGGCGCACTCTTTATTTTGGGATTTTTAGATTAGTAACGTCCTAAAGAACATTTTTAAAAATATTTGGTGGTGTAGCAAAATTTTTTTCAGAACTTAGTATTTTTTCCCCATCTTTGGGGTTGAATCTACCCCCTTCAGCCCCTAGGCGCACTCTTTATTTTGGGATTTTTAGATTAGTTACGTCCTAAAGAACATTTTTAAAAATATTTGGTGGTGTAGCAAAATTTTTTTCAGAAGTTAGTATTTTTTCCCTATCTTTGGGGTTGAATCTACCCCCTTCAGCCCCTAGGCGCACTCTTTATTTTGGGATTTTTAGATTAGTAACGTCCTAAAGAACATTTTTAAAAATATTTGGTGGTGTAGCAAAATTTTTTTCAGAAGTTAGTATTTTTTCCTCATCTTTGGGGTTGAATCTACCCCCTTCAGCCCCTAGGCGCACTCTTTATTTTGGGATTTTTAGATTAGTTACGTCCTAAAGAACATTTTTACAAATATTTGGTGGTGTAGCAAAATTTTTTTCAGAAGTTAGTATATTTTCCCCATCTTTGGGGTTGAATCTACCCCCTTCAGCCCCTAGGCGCACTCTTTATTTTGGGATTTTTAGATTAGTTGCGTCCTAAAGAACATTTTTACAAATATTTGGTGGTGTAGCAAAATTTTTTTCAGAAGTTAGTATTTTTTCCCTATCTTTGGGGTTGAATCTACCCCCTTCAGCCCCTAGGCGCACTCTTTATTTTGGGATTTTTAGATTAGTTACGTCCTAAAGAACATTTTTAAAAATATTTGGTGGTGTAGCAAAATTTTTTTCAGAAGTTAGTATTTTTTCCCTATCTTTGGGGTTGAATCTACCCCCTTCAGCCCCTAGGCGCACTCTTTATTTTGGGATTTTTAGATTAGTAACGTCCTAAAGAACATTTTTAAAAATATTTGGTGGTGTAGCAAAATTTTTTTCAGAACTTAGTATTTTTTCCCCATCTTTGGGGTTGAATCTACCCCCTTCAGCCCCTAGGCGCACTCTTTATTTTGGGATTTTTAGATTAGTTACGTCCTAAAGAACATTTTTAAAAATATTTGGTGGTGTAGCAAAATTTTTTTCAGAAGTTAGTATTTTTTCCCTATCTTTGGGGTTGAATCTACCCCCTTCAGCTCCATCGCGCACTCTTTATTTTGAGATTTTATGATTATTTACGTCCTAAAGAACATTTTTAAAAATATTTGGTGCTGTAGCAAAATTTTTTTCAGAAGTTAGTATTTTTTCCCTATCTTTGGGGTTGAATCTACCCCCTTCAGCCCCTAGGCGCACTCTTTATTTTGGGATTTTTAAATTAGTAACGTCTTAAAGAACATTTTTAAAAATGTTTGGTGATGTAGCAAAATTTTTTTCAGAAGTTAGTAGTTTTTCCCTATCTTTGGGGTTGAATCCACCCCCTTCAACCCCGTCGCACACTAGTTATTTTGGTATTTTATTATTATCAACGTTTCAAAGAGTATTCAAAAAAAAAGTTTGGTGTTACAGAGATTTTTGTAGAAGTAGGTATGTATTCATTCCAATTTCCAATAGACTTTGATATTAGGGTTGAATTTAGTTTTTTCATCCCTTCGGCGGAATTTCAAAGTCTTATCTATAAAGAGGGTACACCCTAGCACCTATTCTCACAAAAAATATTCTAAATTTTGACCACCAAAGCTAATAATTACCTACTATTTATAATTACACATATTAATTTGCACTACTTATTTGGACGACTGTAAAAATTTGATTTTCGTTTCTGATTCTGTGGCTAACTTCCACGACATTGGAATGAGAGGGAAAATTATTTTGAAGCATTGGATGATCTGATCTATAAGCCAATGTCGTAGATCATAGATCTTCTTGAAGAGGTAGAAGATGCCCTATCATTATTATAGGGTGTAGTACCTACATTCTATGCAAATTTATGACTTGATTATTGATTCCAATAACTAGGTAATGACTATGTAATTACTGTTTATTTCAAATAAAAATGCCCTACATGCCCTGGATGTTTTGTTTGTTTGTTTATAAAATTAAAATTCATCGACAAAAACGCAGAATGGGTCTCGCCAACCCAAAATGGGCTTTTATTGCCTTTTATTAAAAATCTATAGGAAATTTGCGACGTTATCGGTGAGTTCCTTTCAGGTGGCCCTCATTACAAAATCACAATTAACTAATTTGAGTGCAAAATCCTTTGGTGCATCGAACCGACATTTTTACCGTGATTACATAATTATCCGTGATTAGCTAATAACGAAAATACGTGAAAATGGTGAATAGTATGAGGAGCTCCGGAACAGCTCCGGGGCGTTACGCGCTTATTCCTTCCGAAAAGTGTTTGTTGCACCTGAGTACTCAAGCCCAAAGTAAACCATAAATGCACGAAAGTCGGCGAATCTGTTCCTTTCAAATCGGGTTGACACACCGGAGCGAGTAGCTCTAGTGTTTCAAACTCTTGAAAGGAATACAGCTACATACTGGAAAGCAGCTTTATATCCTATCGGCGGTGCACTCTCGTACTCTATCCGTTCCAGCGGCCGCACCGGTGCGGCGTGATCCCGACAATCCGGAGCCGTTGATCGAAACGAGTCTGTCGGTGTAATGTACTCCGTCTCTGAATCTGTGTCCCTACTCCGAGTCCACACTTTTTCCTGTTCCACTGGCCGGCGCGGCGTGATCCGATTAGTTCGAGTTTGACTCCGAGTCCGTACAACGTAGACAACGCAAAAGTGGTCCGGACTTGAACTCGAACTTGGACCGGACCTGTTTATTTTGCAGTGGATCAGTTCCCACTGTGAAGATCAGTTCCAGTATTTGGCCCTGATAATAGCCAATTTTGGGTTGGCGAGACCCCATATCTGCGTTTTTTTCGATGAATAACTTTTAGGTATACAGTATACACAAACAAACAAAGCATCCTGGGCATTTTATTTGAAATAAGCAGTAATTACCGTAATTACATAGTCATTAGTTACTGGAATCAAGCCATAAAATTGCATATAATACTACCACCCTATCATAAGTTAAGTTAGGGCATCTTCCACCTCTTCAGGAAGATCTACGACTATTGGTTCATAAGATCATCCATCCAAGGCTTCAAAATAATTTTCCGTCTCATTCCAACGCGTTGGAAGCCCATCTAACACAATCATTATTTATCAGTATCCAAATCCTCGTCAAATAATAGGTGGTCCATCTCCATATTCCTTATTTGATTTCTCCCTGCTCACCCTCGCCACACACTATTTTTCCAGTAATTTTTTGGGGACAAAAATGTTTTTAAAATGTAAAAACAAAACAAAACATTCTAACCTCATTTCATTATAGCCGCGGTTATCCTAAATTCCAGGCCATCGAGCGATTTAAGTTAATTGCCGATTAGGCGAAAAAAACGCTTGGTGCATACGAAAAATATTATGTGATCACGGCTAAAGTTTAATCAGAGAATTTGTGTAATGGTGCATACCAGGCAAATGCAAAATCCTTTGGTACATCGAATCGACTTTTTTAACCGTGATTACATAATTAGCCCTGATTAGCTAATTACGAAAATACCTGAAAATGGTGCATACAGGTATTAGGGTATAAAAACTAATTGAATGTGTCAGGAAAATAAAAGAAAGCGCCTCAGTTTGTAACAGCTGACGAATGAATTCTTCAAGTCGAAATCAGCTGATGTAATTTTACGCAGAAGTGTAGCCCCAGTGAGTTTCAAAATATTAAAATTCTTTTTGTATGTTTTATAACTTTGAGTTTATAGTTCATTGTTTATTTCTTTAATTTTGCAGGATGTTTTTCGCAAATTAAAAGCAGCAGGCCATTGCCAAGGTTTTGCCCTCGGTTTTGCCATTTCATTTGAATTATTTTTGAGAAGTTATTACATTCACAATACCTACAATTTATTGTAAAGTGGAAACAATGGGTATAGATGATATATTTCTTTGGTAAGTAATATTCCTCAATAAAAAAATACTAATTGTACGTAATTTATATTGGCAATAGCAGAATAAATATTGGTCTTCACTCCCCCATGCATTCTGCATCTAGGAGTTATAATAATTTACCTATTAATTTAAAAGTTAACTAACTTTATTATTTCTTATGTTATGTTATGTTATGTTATTTTCTGTATAAACGCCATAAGGGGTTTCCATAAGTTCAACTTTTTATCTTATGTTATGTTATTTCTTATGTTATGTTATGTGGCTGTATAAACCCACCTTTACAAAACTTTAGTCAATTTCATAGGAAACTCAAAATGCACTTAGGTACTGATATAACTTAATAATAATATTTATTTTCATAGAAATATTTAAAAAAAAAAAAAAAAATGTTTGTTAACTTTAGTTAGATTAAAGCTGGATTTATAAACTCTGACGTCCGCGCCCGCGCCCGCGCTCGCGCTCACGCCCAACATAAATGAAGCAGATCACGAAGTTTGATTTATAAACACAAACGCCCGCGCCCGCGTTCGAGTTCGCGCCCGAGTCCGCGCTGGAGATGGCCAGTTTTATCTTCGACGGGCGCGGGCGTCAAAGTTTATAAATCCAGCTTTAGCATCACCATTTTGTTATTAATATTATATTCTTGAGAACAGTGTTTTATACACTGATTTAAGATTATGTGTAATATGAATGTACTATAAAAAAAATTTGTGAATAAATGGTTAAAAAAAAAAAAATGTTACGAAGGCGGAGAAGTGCCACACATAAAAAAAATTATTCACTTCGACTTTAATGTCGAAATTTCGAGAAAAAAGTTGAAATTTCGAGAAAAAAGTCGAAATTTCGACCTTAAAGTCAAAGTCCCAAAAATTTCGACTTTAAAGTCGAAGTTCCAAAAATTTCGACTTTAAAGTCGAAGTACCAAAAATTTCGACTTCGAAGTCGAATTTTCGTACAGTACCTACCAATAAGCCAATGACTGGAGAGTTTCCTACAGAATTAAAAATTGCTAAAATTTGCCCTATTTACAAATCTGGTTCAAAAAAGCTAATGAACAATTATAGACCCATATCCTTGATAAGTGTATTTTCGAAAATTGTGGAGTCTGCTATTAAATTAAGAATGCTATCTTTTATAACCAAATATGTCGGTCATGATCCATTCCAATATGGTTTTCAGGAAAACAGTAGCACTCTAAGTGCTGCTGTCGATCTCATAAACCATGTATCAACTAAACTTGATGAGGGACATATAATAATAGCTGTGTTCATAGATCTGCGCAAGGCATTTGATGTTGTAAGCCATGAACTGTTGTTGAACAAGTTGCGACTCATGGGCTTCAGAGGTGTAATGTTGCGGCTTCTTAAGACGTACTTGCAAGATCGGCAACAATATATAGATTTGAACAATGAAAGAAGTCCAGTCATAAAAAATAACTGTGGAGTTCCCCAGGGCTCAGTCCTGGGTCCACTCCTCTACACATTGTTTGTATTGAGCTTAAGACTTGCAGGTTTGAGCGGACAGTATACAGTATTTGCAGACGATACAGTCCTGGTTTATGCGGATAGTGATCAGAATAATCTAGTCGAATTAGCGAATGGTGATTTGGATAGATATTATGATTGGCTGTTAGATAACAAATTAATGCTAAATATAGAAAAAACAAAATATATGGTACTTAAACAAAAAAATAAACATGTAAATAATATAATTATAAGTATAAAAGACAGAATTACAGAGAGTTGACAGTATTAAATATTTGGGGCTAGTGCTTGATGAAAACCTCACATGGGCAGAACATATTGAACATATAAAAAATAAGTTGGTTTCTTTTATGGGTGCTGTTTGTAGATGCAGACATTTTTTAAGCAATAATGCTAAATATAAAATTTATAATGCATATTTTTTGTCAGTCATGAGATACCTTATCCCAGTATGGGGTACTTGCAGCATATCATATTTCGAAAAAACCAAGACTCTGCAGAATAAAATACTTAAAACACTGTTTAATCTTGACTATCACACTCATACTAAAGAGTTATATGAAATGCTAGGTCTGCAATCATTAAATCAGATCCTCAGTATCGAGCAGTCAAAATTAATGCATATGTTACGCTCAATAGTCGAAGTCGGGCAATGCCCGAAAAAAATACGCAAAACTAGTTGTGAGCAACGATAATTTTCCAAACCCGAAATTTTAATTTTTTACGCTTATTGAGAATTAAAACATAAACAGAACTAGTTTTTCACTTTTCAAAATGTACAGAGCTAGTTTTGTACATTTTTGAATAACCAGTACTAGTTCTGCCTTTTTCAGTGTCCAAATAAAACAAACATACATAAAGCCGAAAAAAATATAATTTAAATATACCTATTTTATCTAGATAATGACAAATAAAACAAATAAATCTTTATTCTTAGGCAAATATCCAGTTATTCGCACATCTCTGTTACAACGTTCTACAGAACCTTGCTTTTGTGAGTGACGCGGTTTTCCATGTACGATTTTCAAATGGGACCACTGACACTTCAAATTATTTATAACTTGGGTTTGCAAATTCACGGCCATTATCAGATTGAAGAATAGATGGGGACCAGTCTTACTTATAATAATTACTGTAACATCCACAAATTCACGAGCACAAAAAAATAACGAAATAAATTCAAAATAGCAACATAACCCTACTTTTTATCTGGATTTGGGAGGTTGTAAGCTGTAATAGAAGCAGAACTAGTGCTGGTCATTCAGAAATGTACAGAACTAGTATTATACATTTCAAAAAGCGCAAAACTAGTTCTGCTTATCTTGTAATTTGTAATAAGCGTATAAAATTAAAATTGTGGGTTTGGGAAAGATTTGTTGCTCAAAACTAATTTTGCGTATTTTTTTTGGGCATTGCCCGAATTCGACTATTGAGCGTAACACATACAATTATTAATAATAAACTAAAATGTAATACACCCATTATTCACTCAAATCAGATTCATAACTATAACTTGAGAAATAGCAATGACATCCACCTGGCTAATGTAAGAACAAATATTGCACTTCGAAATCCCATTAGTGAGGCATCAAGAACTTTCAATTCCCTTCCTACAAGGTTAAAAGACGAAAAGTCAAAAAATAGGTTCGTAAAGAATGTAAAAAATTACTTTAAGTGAACAAACAATACACTATATTTTGCTTTGTTAATTATTATGTAAGTAGGTGATGGATTACTATTTAAGATTTAAGATTAACGAACACCTTGTTAAAGTACTTAATATTCCGATACCAGTGCTTTTTGCACTGTTTAGGAGATTACCTTTAACTCAAGCAAGAAAAATATGGAATGCTATTTATTTGTAAAATTTATGTACAATAAAGCTTGAATAAAGGATTGTTAAAAAAAAAAAAAACTTAAAATACATACAGGGTGACAATTTAAAAAGGTGCAATCGGGAATATCTCTTAGGACCAGATAAATTTACCGTTATAAAATTCTCTTGGTTGGCAGATAACTGGCCGACGCAATGGGATTACAGATTGTGTTTTTATCCTTCAGATTGCATACCTGACACTTTATCAAAAGGTGAATAAACCGGCCCTTAGACAAAAAATTCTATCAGGAAGAACTCAAATACGTATTGGGGGATTGGAGCAAGTATTAAAATGAGGGACTCTTTGAGTCATCTCGCCTAGCCCCTCAGGGGGTAGCTACCCTAACTTATTTTTTTTAATACGAGTCTTCAAATCAAATCAAATCAAATCACACATTGTTCGATAGCTCCTTGCTATCCATTTACTTTACAGTCTTATAGCAAAATCTTAAATCGGAAGATTAGTTTTTGAGATATCGGTGTTTAAAAGTAAGCATATTTTCAGAAGTAGTAGGTAATTACTATCTCTATAGATAAGAGAATTTTGTCATAATCACCCTGTAAGGAGGCAGATAGTTACCGGCAAGTTTAACTCAAGATGAATAAACCGGGCCTAAGAGAGACTCTGTATGTATTTTGAGTCGTCATACAATAATTCGACTTTAAAGTGACATTTTTTGTACTTCGACTTTAAAGTCGAAATTTCGACTTTTTTCTCGAACTTTCAACTTTTTACTCGAAATTTCGACATTAATGTCGAAATTCTTGGTACTTCGACTTTAATGTCGGAATTTCGACATTAATGTCGAAGTGGATTATTTTTTTTATATGTGGCACTTCTACGCCTTCGTATAATGTAGCAAAATGTCTGCCATAATATACAACGTTCTAATGTTACAAATTTCCTCAGAAAAAAGTTGTTCACTTGGAAATAGTTTTTTTCGCTTGAAGATAATTCTCAATGTGTATTTTTGGACAACGATCAGTCTTATAAAGAGCATTTTTCCATATGTTCCATCCTACACCAGAATCCCATAACCAATGGTCGATTCTACCAATGCTTTATAAAGGACAATGAGCATCTTTCTCTTCAAAAATTGTGTTAAAAGATAAAATTTGTGGACTAATCCGCGTATTCTGTTGGATATTCCGTATGGAAATGCAATTTCAGAAAACCAGTTCACTTATAATTCCGAGATATTTTGTTTTTCTCACTTCATCCCAGGATTCCCAGATGCTATCATTAAAAACGAGACAGTATCATCTGCATAAGACAACGCAAGAACATCCATATTGAGCCATAAGAGAGTGTTTATATAAGCAACAAATAAGACTGGTCCCAGTACTGTACCCTGTGGCACCCCCATCTCTATAACCTGCTCCCGACTACTGAGAACGTTATTAATTTTTACTAATTGGATTGGACCATGTTATCAAGATAGGTCCTCAACAAGTTCAACACAGGCCCCTCTTGTTCGCTTTTTTTTAGAGAGTTAAATTTCTCCTCATTCCATATGTGTAGCATATTTAATCATTTCAGAAACATATGAACATCATTTGGCATGATAAGGTTAAAAAAAGAAAAATACATTGCAAATAAAATTATACACACTGATTACCACTTATTTCTCGATTAAAAT